GCAACGTTACTTCATTCCCATTGTTCAACGTATGCGATAGTATTTCAACGCGATCGTCGATATCCACGCCGTGGATAATCGACCCGATAACTTAGTCATGATGGCAACAAGTATGGGCCCAAATTTCTCTGGGCATCCTGCTGGCATGGGGCATCCAGGTGTCGCCGGTCATCCTATGGGACCTGGTGGCATGCCTCACAACCCAGGCCAGCAAGGCGCTCCTGGTGGTGGAATGCCTCATCAATTCGGAGGACCTATGGTCTCTGCTCCCGGAGCACAAGTAAACCCTGCCCTCATGGGCGGTATGCCGCCGGGTGCGAACCCAAATGCTCATGCTTTGCAGCACCTCAATCCCACCGCGCAGCAGCAAATGCTTCAGCAGCAGCTCCAGCAACAACATTGTATGTAATACCCTACTGGCACTGTCCTCGACATCCCCTGTCTCTGCGCACGCGCTAATTGGCTCATTCACAGTTGGTAATCCGCAAGCGATGGCTGCGATGCGACAGCAGCAGCAACATCTACTTCAGCAACAACAAGCGCGACAACTCATGGCTCAACAAGCCTTCCAAGCCAACATGCAGGGTGGCGGTATTCCCATGAACATGGCCCAATTTAGCCAGCTCAACCCTCAACAGCTCCATCAACTTAGAAGAGGTCTGGCTCCGGTAAGTCAATTGATACCCCAGCTGCCATTCGTGTTCTTCTCAGCTAACAAATCAGGGACAGCATCCACAAGCCCAAGCGATTATGGCCCAGCAGCTTGCTCTGCAACAACAACAGCAGCAGCAACATCAACAACAGCAACAGCAACAGCAGCAACATCAACAACAGCAACAGCAACAGCAGCAACAACAGGCTGCCCATGCTCAGCAAATGCAAGCTGGGCCTAATCCAGGCCAACCAATGCCGATGAACGCTCAGAGCATGCAAGCTATGCAGCAAAATCAGCTCGCTCTTCAAAATCAGATGGCCAACCAGCAGGGCCAACAACCTCAGGGACAACCTCAACCTCAACCCCAACCACAACAGCAGCAACAGCAGCCTGGCCAGCAACAGCCTCAACACACCCCTCAGCAATCATCGCAGGCTGGTACACCCGCTCCTACCGGACCTCAAACACCAGCCCAGACGCCTAGCTCAACTCCTGCTCAGCCAACCCAGCTTCCACCTGGACAGAGTCAACCGCAGGTACCACAAACTCCTGCTCAACCACAAGCTCAACCGCAGCCTCAGCCCCAGGCACAGGCACAACCGCAGCCACAAGCTCAGCCTCAACAGCATCAGATGAGCGCCACTACCGCACAGCAACTCGCAATACAAAGCCAAATTCTTCAGCAGCAGCGACGAGATAGCATGAAGGGCCAGTGCTTACTAAAGCTGATGCAATTCAGCGAACACTTGAGTGGCTTTCCCGTAAGACATGCCATGATACAGTCCTTTACGACAAGCTAACAGACATCTACAGGGTTCCAAAGGCCGAGATGACCTCTCCTACTGGAACGGCTTTGTGATGCGCTTCTTCTCACCAAACGGTGTCTTCCGTCATTCATTACATATCACCGACGCCGAAGATACGACCGACAAGCAATATGAAATTGCTTATCCCGCTATTGCTCGATACTTTCACACTCATTTCGGCAGTGGCGTAAAGAACATGCAGTTGATCATGGACAAGGGTGTGACAGATCGACCTCTTCCTGGTGACTGTCACTGCATCGAGAACTCGAAGGCCAGTCTTGTTTATTGGTTCGAGACTGGATCTCACGTAAGACATTCTGGTTGGTCTGAGTCAATACGTTACTAACGCGGTGATAGTTGGTCGCGAGCGGTACCCTCCGAGCCCAGTTCGACGCTGAACAAAAGATCGAACTTTTCGAGTTCCTCACCACGAGTCATGACGAATTCATCTCACGAAAACAGGTCATTGATGCCGCGAAGCCCGCCCACATGTGGATGAAGGAATGGCACAAGACTAACTCACAGGATGGTAAATCACCCGAATTGTCTAAGAAGGGCAAGGGTCGACAGTTGAAGTCACCTCAAACCCAGCCACCCGAGGTCCTGGTCGACCTGCCAGACTCGGCTGTCAACAGCAAGGGTGTGACGGAAGCTGTCTTCCAGTTTCTCGAGGTAGGGACAGCTCACTCAGCGTAAGTAAGAGCGACGCTAATGAATAATGTCCAGATTGTTGAAGTGATGGGACAGATGAACCCATTATTCCAATTTTACCATTCGAACCCCGGCCTTGGCCCGTACCAAGCCCTCGAACAGTACGTCTCGACACATATCAACGGAGTTCCACCCAACATGAACGGCCAACAAATGCCCCCCGGGGCCCGCACACCTAGCTTCGGACAATTTCCCATGGGTGCAAGCCCAGCAGCGGCTCATATGAACCTCCCCGGATCACCACACATGGGCAGCCCAGCACCTGGACACATGCAAGCCCCCGGGATGCAGATGCAGCAAAGCCAACAGGGCACTGGCTCTAGCGGTCCCAGTGCAAACACATCCCCCGCCTCCAACAAGCGCCGACGGCCATCAGCAGTGAAAGAGGAGGATGGATCTGGAGCCCCTACACCTGCCGCTAATGGAATGCCACGCAACGCCAAACCACCTACACCAAGGATGCCAAAGCGTCTCAAGGGGAACCCGCCGGCCCAGTAAGGAGTGGTTTGCTTCATTGTCTCGAATAGCCAGATCTTTGCGTGTTTTATTCAGCATCACTTTGCATGGTGGCGTCACTTCGTATTTGGGTTTGCTATAGGCCTGTCTATCGGGAAGATATCTTGTTGTGACAGAATGAAGGCATTTTGAACGGCGTGTAATTCCACACACATACATCCTTGGCTATGTTTGTCAATGCATAATGGATGCTCTTGGGAGGCCCCTTCTTAGAGCACACTTTTCACTGCTCAGTCACCTTTATCGGAGCAGTGAACTGGAGACTCAGAGACACGGATGGCGAGACCCACGCATGTTGGAACATGCACATAATGATAGTAAACGACATCGTCATGGGCCTGTTTCTGGAGCATCGAAACCAACAATAGAGGCGAAAGGGGAGATCAGGGGATTAATTTGGGTAACGTGGTTGAACTTACCCACGCTTGTACGACTACAGGGACTTGGGGCACAGGCTGGCGTCGAAAGTCCTGGCTACCCTTACTTGTTTTTGTCATGTGCATTTGCTTTTACCTTGTTTACTTATCTGAAAAGGACGCTCAGCAAGCAACTAGGTGTATACGGAGGGGGGAGTTCGGAGACACTGGGGGCTTGGTCGAGCATACTGTTGCACCAAATTTCGCGTTAATCTAAGAGTTAAAGACCGAAAATATGGGAGAGAGGAGCTGTGGTTGTGCCGTGTTGCGTTGCGTTCTGTTGACTTATGAGCAGTCTGGTGGCGCGAGGATCATGGGTTTATTCAGATTATACCTAGGCTAACTATGGAGTTTGGTCTTTACGATGTTAATTTGAATTGTCTGTCTCGGTCTTTGTTTTATCTTAGTGTTGATGATTATGCTACTTAATGAGTGTTTGTGATAAAGCATCAGCTCGGGCAGAGGTTCACTGTGACATAGAGTACAACCCAAGAACCAATATTATAAGAAACAGAAGTGATTCACAGTAATCTGACATGAACCAATCTTTCCGGACACTGGCCACTGAGAAATCTTGTCCTTTACTGGGCCTGTTCTATTCATATTTTTACCGATCGTGATGAGACAGCAATATACGAAAAAACTAGCAATTCGATGAGCAACTGAGATGATGTTATTGATACATTTGAATGCGTGGTTTTGATACTAGTTTAGTTCCTTTCCGTAGAATATTCTTGCGCTTACTGCATACATCAAGTTCCAACAAATGTTCCTTGCCCCCAAAGTGTACCTCGCCAGTCGTTCAGATTCATCATAATGCCGTTGGTGTCACTGTCCTTTTACCGAGTCAGTACTCACTACAGCTTGGATGAAGACGGACATGAGTGAACATACTGGAGTGTGTGCTCTCAGGCACTGTTTCTGAACCACCAGCCAGAAGTCTTCTTGGTTGGGAGGTGCTCACCACGAACAGAGATGTAGCACTTGAGTGCACCTCTAGATGAAGCCATCATCTCCTTGAGAAGAAACCACTCGAGCTCAGAGCGAGCCATAATGTCTGTCTTAGTCACAAGGTCACGATAGTGCCACTCCTTGTCGCTAGGTCCAAGCGGGTAAATCTTGCCGCCGTAGGTCCAGTACAGCGTAGCAGAGACGAGCTTGGGACGGCGAACATGGCGACTGAGACGATTCTTGTTGGATGCTTCGACGACAGGGAGCTGTTCCCGGAGAAGGTTGAGGAGATGAACTCTGGAGGTATTGAGAGGAATGCTCAGAGGCGTTGGGAGAGGGTCCCACGAGCCAGTGAGAGTGCTGTCATGGCAGGGATCATGAACAATGAGATCAAACTCGAGCTTTGAAACTGGCGGGAGAGGCGCAAGAGGTCTTGCATCGACTGAGATTTTGTCGGCTGTGCCGCTCGGAGCTGAAGGGAAGGTTTTGGCCTTGAGTGGATGATGCGCAAAGGGCTCTTGGGCAGTGATGAACAAATCCATGACGCTTAATTTCTCTGATCTCGAGAGTTTGAAGGAAACAGTGAGATGAGGCGAATGTAATGATGATGAGAACGCTGAGGAAGAGGAGGTGTTGTATGTATTTCAGGCCACTTGAGATGTTATTGAAGTGAGGGGTTGTGTTATAACTACTGCGCCTGAAACTCAGCTCTCATTCAGTGAGATAGATGCTTTGCTTTTGATCAGCGCGCCGAGTAGAGCGCGTGTTGGCGCGATTGTGAGTTGGCCAGGGGCTGACAGTGACGACTTGGCTGATATGCCTACGAACGACACACGATCACAGTTACAGATTGAGAGGCTCCATTTGCTTGAAGATTTTCAGATCTTATTAATGATATCAGAAGATGCTAGAATGAGAAGTTTCTAATACCTAGGTAGTCACTGCTTAACCGCTTGCAACGCCCCCTTCTTCTTCAGTGTTATCAGGCTCCACGCTTGCAACTTTAGGGAGCTTAGGTCCAGGCTCAGAACCAGTTCCCGCTGGAGTAATATTACTTGTTGATGCAACTGTATCTGTACTATCAGGCGCTGTTGGCTCAGGGATGGTAGTAGTATCTCCTGTGTTCGAAGGTTCAGGCACGTTGGTGTTGATCGAAGAGGCTGGCGGTGGTGAAGGTTGACGAACAACAGCAACATCAGGCTGAGTGTTGGTCGAGTTACTCTGTTTGTTGTCAGTGGTGTCATTTGAACTTCCGCTCGGGGGAGTACTCTGGTCGTTATCGGTTTGTTGCGCCAGGATCTTAATAGGCACATAACCATGCTAGAGACTTCTATTAGCTACCTCCCTTTTCTCCCCAACCACTTCCTTCTAGTCGATGTACTTACATCGACCAAGATAAAGGCTCCATAATTATTCGTTACTGTATCCATCATCATTGTCTGAAAATCCAGGGCTGTCATATCGCCAAATGACACCTTCTTCACAAGATCTGGTGGTGAAATAGGCCCATCTCGTGGATTGATGGTAAGGGTCGAGAAGTTGCTTCTCGTAAGATACAAAGTACATCGCCGGATGTACGCTTTGTCTCCAAGTCCATGCTGTCCAGACCACCAAGATAAGTTTCCTAGCACTGTTTCTCGAGGTGGAAGGTAGTTGTAGTGGGCATCGTTGGAGGCGAGAACAGTTCCTGCACGGTGGTATATGACTTTGATCCTGATGGGTGAAGAAAAGACAGGTCGATACACTGGGACTAGTTGAACAGGTGCTATTGTGGCTTGTGCTGGAACAACCACTGTCGTAGGTACATTCATGGGAACTATTGGGAGGACGTAGTTCCCAAAGACTGGAGGTTGGAAGTAGAACGCCATCGTTGTTGAGCTTTGAGGTAATGAAGGTTGACAAAGAAGACCGCATAGTTCATGGTAGAACTATCTACCTTAAATACACGAACTGGTACGACGCTGGGCCGTTTAATCACGGTGGTCAAATTGGGTTCGTCATGATATGCTTGGTGTCACTCACGACACTATTTGGCAACTATACACTGTTCAGCCTTTGTGGATAGATCTTATTCAGCTGGGTCTATCTCGTGATTAACTGCACTAATGGGCCTCGCCACTGTTGTCCTGGTTCTTTTTCATAACCTTTGCATGGGTAGATGGTTTGTTTGACGTATCACCCTCAAGGGCAAGTTGTCGAGATGATTGCGTTAGACAGGTAGACGAAGCTATTAGGACTTAGATCGCTAGCTAATGAGTAAGACACAATAACAATGCATCCTGTATAGTATCTATAAATATCAACTTTCCCAAATTTTTCAACTGATACAGGCACCTTATAAGCGAACATGATAAGATGCAAACTGGTCATGTGGAAGCACCACTATTCGCGCCTACTCTGTGTTTCAACAACTGACAGAGACCGGCTCCTACCCAAATGGTCAACATCGAAAATTAACTTCTCCCTTGAAAGAATTGCATATCCAATATCAAATTCTTCATCCTCCAACCAACCAACCAACCACTCTCCCTTGTTTAATAAACATTGGCCTAGCGCAAAACGCTTTGATTGTCAGTTCTAGATTCGGCAATTGCATGACGGCAGAGATAGATCCTGGGAGCTGCCTCTGACGTATCATATCACACTAAGATCGACGGGGCTTCGTGCATCGCCTTGGCTTGGCTTGGCTTTCTCCTCACCAACCAAGTCCCCCCGGCCCGATAAACTCAATCGATCGCTTGCTATTTTGGCGAGGCTATCATCCACCAATTTGAGCAGCGTTAGAGCTGTTACTGTTCCATTGCTGTGGAGCGGATAAGGATAATGACATAACAGGACGCCAGTGGCTAGGAAATCACTGGTTCAAATGTCACGAATGCGCTTAAGAAGATGTCTCGGCAATTACAATGCCGTGGACTAGTCAATGGACAAAAGGGCCCTCCATCCTCCCTGCGGCTTTGGAGCTGGGCTCTATCCCTACAGAAAAGAAAAGCTCAACCTAAGCGGTGACAATCAATATCCCCTTCACCGTCAAACACCGCTCGGCAGGTGATATTAAAAGTTACTAACCCTCCACACCCGGGCCATCGGACTTCCACAACAGGAGCGCCACGTCCTCAACGTCCAGTCGTTAGTCTGGGATCAGCCTCTGAGAGACGCTACCATTACAGCGTGCATTGCACCGGCCCTTCTGTTCCGCTTAACCCGCCTCCTCGACAAAATCACAGCTTGCCGTGTTGTGTCGAAATGCTCTGATACGGACATCGAAGACTCGGTGGCGCGGGGATCGTGTTTTGCTTCTTACAACCATTTTGTTGCACCCAATATTGATTTCGACCTCGGTCTTGTGGCTTAGACAAGTTGAGAACCTTGCTACAATATCTCGAGACCGACTCAACGTTTTCTAACTGGTGTTCAGTCTTGTACACCACTCACCAATCTCCAATCTCTCACCTCTGATCAGCCCGGCAGCCATGATACAATGAAGGGGGGCGGATTGCTTATTCCACCATGGTTCGAATACCATGAGCCAAGTTGCTCAGACTGGGCCATTGTCAGCATCGCCTTTGGCATGACTCTGTGTCTGGCAATTTTTGGACTCATTCGTGTGGGAATTCAAACTTATCATCAATGGAAACGCGCGCAAAGAATTACGACCTATATGGTTTTAATATGGCTCGAATTGGTCGCCAGCGCCATTATTGGAGGTCTCGGCTGGGGTTACGTTCGAGGAACTATTCGCCCGGGGTGAGTCTTGATTGCTCAATCTCTATCTTTCACGACCTCAAGTTCAATGATTGACCAAAATCACTTCTAGGTTCTTGATATACTTCTTCATCTGTATGTTACCTGGCTCAAGGTTGCATCCCCGGGCTAATCTCAGTAGTGCTCCTTTGGGTATTTCAAATCCATTGTATTATGCAAATCATTGTCAACCGAATCGCCCTCCTCCATGTTTCGCCGACCATCGTTCGACGACTAAAATGGGGAATCTTCACTATCTTGGCGCTTATCAACATTTCAGTCTTTTGTATTTGGATCCCTGCTCGACTGCAGATTAGCCAGACCTATATCGACATCAACAACGTTTGGGACAGAATCGAGAAAGGAATCTTCGCGGTTATTGACCTAGCTTTGAACTTCTACTTTGTCTATCTTGTCCGCTCATCCCTCATATCATATGGCTTGACCAAGTATGTGGTGTTGTATCGCTTCAACCTGGTGATGGTAATCGTTTCCATTTCGATGGATGTAAGTCTGAATTGCCAAACATGTTATACCATCCGGCTGACATTTTACAATAGATCCTGATCATTGGCTCAATGTCATTGCGGAATACCTTTTTGTATGTTGCATTCCAGTGTATTGCTCTTTAGCTCTAATCATCGTGTCAGATACGTCGAGTTTCACCCGCTTGCATATCTCGTCAAGCTTCATATCGAATTGTCCATGGCTGAGCTCATTGCCAAGATTGTCAAGGCCTCCGGGCCCAACCTCGCACCTTGTCGCTGCACTTGCCATGACAATCCCAACCACACATTCCTCCATCAACTACAATCTCGTCACAGTGCACCTCCAGCTCCCAGTGTGACTGCGCCAACTACTGGAAGATTCCGTCGTTCTTGGCCGATGTCAAAGACCGCACGCAGCAGAGAGAAGCGACGCAGAGGAACCCGATCAAAAACTCCCTCCTTGACCAAGAAGATAGTTTCAAGGAAACGGCAAAGTACCGAAGAAAATCAGCCAAAGCAGGAAGTCTGGAAATCTGACACGAATACTGGCACAGACTGCGCCTCACACAACATGCCAAGCTCTACAGGACAATCGAATGAGAGCTCGCACGATCATAATGACTGAAGTCATAACGGAAAATCGCGTAAAGTAGTATTTTCCCCATGTCTCTGAGCATTCTGCCCTACGAGGCCAAATCAGGTGGTCATGATAGGTTTGGAGCGAACACCGCCCACTTTGTCTTCAGAGAATTCAGAGGATATCAATACGCACAGCTCAGAAAGACTTAAGGACAAGAAAGGCCCCTTTTCCATGGAGGCTCTGAGAGAGGTCGATTTGGCTTCGATGAGTCTCCAACACTTTGCGTCGGTAGACAAATCGGCCCCACTGAGCAACTACCGGCGCACCCTGTCCTTCTCCACGGTATCCACCCCGGCGAGCCTGATGAGGTATTGCTGGGGATGTTGAGGAGGTGCTCGCTGATGCCATAATCGGCGCAGGAACCTACAAACTTCGTACGATGGTCGGCTGTTGAACGATCGATTGGCAATTGTCAGTTGGGGAAATGATGTTCATCCATGATCTCAGCATCTCCATCTCCCAGTCATTCTCTCGATTTATTGTACTGCATAGATCATTGTCCCAAATATGAGCTTTGGAAACAGAAATCTTGGATAGTGTGAGAGCAGTGAAAAGGAAACTAAGTTTTTGGCCGGGACACAACAACACCCTAAATAAGGGATTATAGAACCTGCCATCTCATGTCAGGCATTGTCACAATAGTTTACATTTATCCTCAACTACTCGCAATGCTAAACTTCATTTCACGCAAGGCACAATTGCTGTCATATCTAGCCGTCATGAGTTTGTAATTCGTTATGGTCATGTGCTTTGTTGTCACTTTTGTAGAGACGCTAGTCATTATCCAGCCTGATCCGCTATCAGACAAATAGCAAAAGAACGCCGTTGATCCTGTACAGAGCCGTACCAAAGCCCTACCATTGTGTCTTTCGTGACACTATGCCGTGTATGTTTTTGTTCCCGAACCCTAAGTTCCTGCGGATATCGTACGAGCTGTCTTTTTCATAGCAAGTAGTCACAGAATGCCCCTCCAAAATGCTTTGCCGTGTCCTCATATCCCTAATCTGTTCCATATGCGCGCTCATTTCAAATCGTAAGAGTCTTCCACTGGGCGTATGTTCGCCGTATACTCAAGTACAGGTCGTAGGACCCTTGTGAAACTTGACAATGCTGTATATCGTATTACATGACACCAGGGGCTGGGTTCTCGTGCTTAGCGGTGCTGCCCTTGCCTCTCCAGGTGCTGACAGCAGGAATATTGGCCTCATAACGGACTTCCTCGGTACCGTAGGCTCCTGGGGTAAGTTTAATCAAAGTGTGTAGAGGCACGTTCATCCAGGGGCTCTTAGACTGGTCCTTCTTCATGAAGTACGCATACACACATCGTAGCACAGCTTGGTGAGTGACGATAAGAATGTCCTCACTACGCTCCAATTCCATGATGATGGGCTCAAGGCGGATGACAACATCGCGGTACGACTCTCCACCACGATAGCGGTAGTTGTACTTGTCTTCATCGCGGGCGGCAAAATCCTCAGGGTATCGGTCCTTGATCTCCTGGTAGGTCAAGCCATCACATACTCCAGAGTCAAGTTCATCGAGCGCCTTCCATTGGAGCTGGTTATAGTGCTGGGGTAGGAAGCGAGAAGTGGCAATAGTACGTCGCAAAGTTGAGGTCCATACTGTGAGTGGTCGGTCGTCCTGGATGGTGTTAGCCACGGGAATAATGTTTAGGTGAGGCTGAACTTACACCAACTGATTTTCGGACGAGCTCAGGAAGTTTTCTGGCATATTGTTCACCACGAGGAGAGAGAAGTGTATCACCGCCAATTCTTCCATCAATGTTGTACAAGGATTCACCGTGCTACAAAGATTGTTAGTGATTGATTTGAGCGCGCAACGTAATTGTTCTTACTCTTGATAGCCAAACCGAACGAGGACGGATGTGAAGATTCATGAGATAGTACACAATGCGACTTTGAAGATAATCTCGTATACGGCTGATAATGACTTGCTTACCCACATCCATGATCTTGAGGTAAGTCAAGTGAGATTCTTTGCCATCAGCGTCAATGGTGCAGTACACCTTTTCGTAGTTGCGAATGCGGTTACGGAAATCAAGGGCGGCAGTCTCAGGGTCCTGTCCACGGTAGTCCGGGCTGGTAGTCTTGACGTCTCGGATATTGGCCATGATGAGCTCTTCGTCGTCACACTTGCTCTCGACGAAGAGAACCTCGATACCGTTTTCGTTGCAGACCTCCAGAACCCACTTGCGGCGTTCCAGAGTAGAATTGGTAGCATCAAGAATACCAACAATACCGCCAGACCGAAACCAGGCGAGCATGTCGGCAACAGCAGCCTCGGCGGCAGCACGACGGGTGCGTTCTCCTTCGGGGTTGTTGATATCGAAAAAATCGGCCGTGGGTTGGGGAGCGTCATTGCGTCGGTAGTTCCCAACGTTGAAAGTCTGTGCAGGGATGGAGAGCCACTGAAGATATCGCTGGGCTGAGATGTTGGTCAGCCACGATGGCGCATGATGCAGATGCAGATAGAGATAGAACATACCTCTTTGGGCAATATAACTCTTGCCTCGGGCTGGTAGACCGACCATGACCACACAGATCCTGGTATCTTCGGCCTGAACGCCGACACCGTTAGTTCGAGAAGGCATCGTGGCTGATGGTTTGCGACAAATGGGGTGTAAGTTGGTTGGGCGGTGTATACTGGATGCGACTGCTACTGAGCAGAGCAATCAAGGTTCGCGAGCAACAAGGGCCAGGCACTGATCAAATCTGATGAAGCTCCAATACTGCAGAGACATCAAACAATGAGGAGGATGAGATTGAAATGACGACAGTCTAATCGAAGACGAATGATAGAATGTACAAGTCAGAATATAGTGCTCGTATGAGCCGAGGTAGACTAAAGTGTGAGTGAGGAGAACGGAAAGAGCTGGATGAGTTCTTTCCGACGACTAGATCCGAAGGTAGCCAGCCAGTTGGGATCAGATGAGGAAGCCACGGCACGTAGATGGATGGTATGTTCCTTCCCAACGGAGTAGATTCACGTCGATGACACGCCAAATTGACCCTAATTGAGTGGCCTCAATGCAACTTTGCTCGATGCAAGAAATAGAAGCAGTTTTGGTATGGGGACCTTGCTTCAACAGTCGAAGCTCTGTCCGTTTCGTATATGCAGCGCCAAAGTTGAACTGATCGAGAAGAGCAAGAATCAGACGGATCTGATGCGATCTGCAGCAAAGGCACCCGGGGCAAGGGAAGCAAGACTTCGGGGAGAAGCTGTTTGAGGATGAGGTGGGGGATAGAATGAGGGGTCGAATAGCGAGCGATCTAAGGATGAAAGGAAAAAGAATTGGGATGGATGGACAGCAGCTACTTTAACTAGTTGCTCTACAGAGTAGCAAGCCGTGCCTGGGTAGCGAATAGTCCAAGGGGATAGGAGGTCAAAGAGGATAAGTGAGGTCAAGTGACAGAAGTCCAAGGTGAAGTAAGGTAAGGGTATGCAGGTAGCTAAGGTAAGGTAAGGTAAGGTAGCTTGGGATGAAGATGGAGTCGAATTTGAGGCTAAGAGAGGGACCCAACCAGCTGAGTATCGCAATTGATACGGTACAGCTTATCGCCGCTCAATAGCAAGAAGAAAATAATTATTCTTTAGTCAGGGTAACCGAGTTTGCTCCATCACAGACACGAAAGAAAAAAAATCATGTTGAGCATGCGGCTTGCATCGTCTTTCTCAAGGTCGTGGCTCCATCATGAATGACGATGGAATGGAGACAGGCCAATGGGATTACGTCGTTGCCCCGCTAAAGCCCGCGTTTCTGATCCACTGTCGCGGGCCAAACCTCCCCGGATGGACGCCGTGCGTGTCTGTAGAGGCCCCGGGACGGTTGAGACGCCCTGTAAGGTGACTCGGAGACGGTCCTGTAGAGGAGCACAGAAGGTCGGGTGCTCCAGAAACACCCCTGAATCTGACTTCATCATGCTCCTTCCGGCCTCTTACCGGGGGAACCTCCACTCTGTAAAATTTCCATTTCCCTTTGCCGATCAGATGGTGGGGGAGGAAAGCCGCAGAGCTGCCAGAGACCTGTAGACCTGTACCTAGCCGCTAGCTCAACCCTCGTTGCAGCTGTCTCGTGGTGACCTGCCTCCGGATCCTCCCGGTCCAGTCCCGGAGACGGCGACCACATATCAGGCATTTAAGGGCAATCTTCGGCGTCAAAAGCCCAGAAAGATGGTGTTGAAAATGTGCTGTAGCCATTGAAAATATTGCCCCCTGGTTGTGTGAATTTAGGCATTTCACCCCAGACACCGACAAGACGCCGAGCCCAGAACTGAGTTAGCTCCAGTAGACAGGCATTGAATTGGCGTGGATATTGATAGATCCAAATCTCATCACTTCTTGTCCCGTGCTCTTACCCGGGCCGTCAGCCTCAATTCACGTTGAACTGTTTGTCTGGGCCTGTCTGTCTGCTGCAGGAACCGCCACCAGTGCCGCCCACGAGACCTTTCCTGGCTCCGGGTCTGTCCGAATTGGCACCACTGGTGTTGTGTCGCATCGTGTTGTTGCGATATCATGACTGGAAATTGCTTTTGGAAATCCCCCAGGTGCCGGTTCCTGGGGTACATTCTCGGCCGATGCTTGCATTCTCAACGCATGTTATATATGGGGTCATACATCTTCTGACCCGTCTTCCATTCGATTTGACGTTGTGATATGATGGTAGATGCTTCTCCCCCAAGCTCCCAGACTTTCCGGACGTGGGGTCCCCTCACCCCAGGTTTAGTTGGTTTTGCGGTTTATGTTGTGTTGTGGTGCTGCCCTTACACCGCCTTGCGGCTTCACGATAACGAAACTCGGTGGATCGGATTCGTTCGCTTGAACGCCGACAATGAATCAAAGAAATAGTTTATCTCGTACCTTGCTAAAGGCAAAGGTATTCGCACGACCCCTTGTCCGTACAGGTGACGGAGGTCCAGCTGCGACGCCTCTCATAATGTTCTTGTGCTTCGGCCCGTGATATCAGA